CCACATCATCAATTTTTTCCATGTGGCATTCTATTGATTAGCGTGTAATAACACGTCAACAATGAAAAAGAAAAAAGACAAAATATTTAACAGATTATAGTGCCACTCTGTCACTTAACTGACGGAAGGACCAAAAAGGGGTTAGATTTTGAAATTTAGGGACTAAAAAGGGGATTTTTTCGGTACAGGGATCAAAAAGGAGCTTTTTCCTATAGTAGAGGGACCAAAAAGGGTATTTAACCAATCCTAATACATGAAATGTGGAAAATTTTCTATTATATATGTTATATTGAGCACAATCATTCTTTTGGGTCTTTTCTATTACTCATCCATGAATTTTTAGAATTTAAATTGGCATTTGAGGCTTGAAATGTCTTAGGTGATATATCTGACAAGTGACAAGTTGTGATTTGTGGCAGATACCAAATTCTTTAGAGTCAGCCTCACTAGTTTCTGGTATGTATCAGTTCCTATTCCATTGCTCTTTTTTTTTTTGTATATATATACATTTTTCAAAGTTTAGCTACTGTTTATTTACTTGAAAGGATATAGGAAAATAACTAAATAGCTGGAATGATATAGAGAATTTTGAAGACAAACTTTTTAAGTTTTGTTTATTTTTCATATTCTGTCAAAACCTCCTGATATTAGAAACTGGTTTGGAAGCTATGTATATGAGTCTCCTGTGTTGGACACAAGTGATGATTTCAAGAGCTCAGCTAACCACAAAACAGGATGTGAGAAAGATGCATTTGTCATTAGAGACAGCTTCAAAGAAAAAGTTGAAAATGCAGGTAAACTTCGAGAAACTAAAAGCTGTCAAGAACAGGATGTCTCTGGAATTAAATGCTCAAGTGGATTGGTTAAATCCAATAGCTCTTTTTGGGATAGAAAAAATGATGATCGATCCCTATGTAAGGTAAATTAATGTCATTGTTCTTATTTGGACATTTTATGTTCTTGTTGCACAATACTTATTAACTGAAATATGGTTAATTATTTTTAAACTTCATAAATTGGTTACAAGTTTGGTTATCAGGATTGTTATATAACCGTGCTATTTATACTAAGATTCTTCATTTCTGTTGTACTTGTCCAATTGTATTAGTATAGACTATTGGACTTCATTAAAGATTTAACAGTAAAATATCATCAAAAGTTAACTTTCTTTGTATTGACTCTTATATGCTTTTTGTAGATCTTGGACGCTCATAATTCATCATCTTGCCTTTCTGGTTAGTATCACTTCTCCTAGAAATGGCTTTAATATTTCATCAAATATCTTACAAGATGTTTGATTAACTAATAAACTTTGGAAAGTAAATGAATTTTTTTTTTTTTTTGGGTAGTTGCAGCTTAGGCAATATTCAAGCGACAAACTTTTCAGTGGCTGGAACCAGGTATATACAAGTAGCTAGCTTCCTTTTAAACTCTTTTCACTATGATTCTCTTTGTTTTCAAAAATGAATGTTTTGTGAATTTGTGGTCTAATAGAATGATGATAGCAGTAGGAGCAAAGGTATCTTTGATTAGAGTAATGCTCTTCTTGATTGGCCTTTGATGGCTGTTTTTATTCATCAAATTCAACAACTGGATGCACAAAGAGAAATTATAACCAACAAATCTATCTAGCATCCCAGTGATATAGCCATAAACAATGTTAGAAAGTCACTTCAAATAGTTTTATTTTATGTCTGCTGTGTGTTTGGTTAAATACTAGTTTTAATTTATGTCCACTATGTGTTTGGTTCAATAGATGACTAAATTGAGGTTGTCTTTTTTTGTTCTGTTCTGTAGATACTTTCTACATCCTGTTCACTTGCAGCAAGAAGACATTGGGAGAATGCAAGGGCAGAACTGTGGCGTGAGGAGTTGAGCTGATTGAGGAGATTGAGCAGAAGGTAGGAGGGCTTCGAGAACTTGAGGAAGCTAGTCGGAAGTAGAAACTTATTCAGTCAAATGCATATATATGCACTTTACTCAAACATCACTGTATATAGTTCTTCAGCCTGGTTTCCATATGGTAGGGAAAAACGAAGC